TGTGGTTTCAGCCCCATACCTAGGCCTGAATCCTGATTGGAAGCAAGTCTAGATAATCCACTTCATCCAGAGCCCTCTCTAGTTGCTGACCCACCACCATCCTTCCATTCTTGTCTAAATCTGAAATTTAACACTGTTATGGAGGCCACAGTGCCAGCCCCTGGTCTTTTCATTCATCTGCTAAAGTCTCCTTCAGGTTGAGTTTGATTGTTAGTGACTTCATAGGCACATCCAGGTAGTTTTCTTGGCCAAATGCAGAAATGGTTGGCCACTACCCTCTTCTGAAATGCTTTTTTGACTCCTCATTTGAGCCTATAGTCCTGATTATTCCTGGTTTCCACCCAAATAGTAACCAGGTCCAACCCTCTTAGTTGTTTGTGGTGATCCAAGACCATGCCAGATTGTTTTTACTGGAAATTCTAGATTTTGAGGGTGTCATGAAGCATGTAGTTGAGAGTGTTCCCATAGATCAGTGTTTCTCAACCTTGCTGGCTGGGGAATTCTGGGCATTGAGGCCCACACATCTTAAAGTTGCCAAGGCTGAGAAACTCAGCCATAGATACTTGGAACTGGGCTTAGCAAACGAGAGTAGAGCCAACCCTGTTTTCTTCCTGGGTAGGCCATGAAGGAGATTGTGTGTCAATGCATGATCATCCGTCCAGATGGCTAGAAACTTGATCTGACCAGCCTATACGTAGTTGATCTCTGGTTGGTTTGGGAGGGGTGGGGAAAGAGACACTGATGCAGAAGACAAAAAGGAGGAAAAACAGTTGGTTCATGAAAAGCAGATAGAACTGAAAAGGCCTCTGCATGTTTTTATTTTTTGAAACTTCCGTTACGGCAACTGAACCTTTTTTCCTCAAACAAAACAAAAGTTGTTTTATAATATTTTAAGGCCTGACACATTTATTCTGGCATAGACAGCCATGTGCTTTTCTTGTTGAGATTACTGGAAAAACAACACAGGGAAAACTTTATGGCCATAGGCAGAGGACCTGAAAGGTTGAACATGTTATTTATCAAACAGAGAAGACATTTGTAGCTTGTCATTTCAGAATTTGTTTCTAAGTGCCCTGGGGGGAAGAGTCTTTGATTTTAGATATGAGTGTGAAGCTTGTTCTTTTCTTAAGCTGGCATAGCGTAGAAGCCATGAGAAAAAGTTATGAATTGGCCCCTTATGGACTTTTTGCTGAAAAAAGAGAAAAAATGAACTTATGATTTATGGGTTTGAAGAGTAGAAAGGGTAGCTTATGGAAAGAAGGAAATTATGATGTAACTTTAGAGAGACAGGGCAAAATATAAATGTACTGTATCTACAGTATAACTGCTCTCAAGAAGATTGGAAGATTATAATTCCTTTCCCTTCCCTTTTTTTTCCTTCCTTCCTTCCTTCCTTCCTTCCTTCCTTCCTTCCTTCCTTCCTTCC